GGGGGGGGTGGCTTTACCTAACGCGTCACAATAAAGACACCATCTTTATCTCCATCTGGGCCGTCCGATGCGATGGGGCGGGTGCAGTGGTGCCACGAGGGCGGCTGGGCCCTGCTGGCCCTGCTGGCCCTGCTGGGCCTTCCCTCGCCCCCCGGCGCGCTCAACCCGACCCATCTTCTTGCAGATGGAGGGCGGAGGTGAGCGGTGAGCGGTTAGATGCGAGCGCCGCGATCGAGTTCTAGTGACATTCCGCCTCCACATTCTTAACTTCCTACCAAGAGATACCTTGGTACTCCTAAGGCTGAGGTAATATACAGAACATGATGTGCAACCGTAATACAAAGGAGCCACTTTGAAAAGTACAAAACTGTTCATTACTTGTAAAAAACTTGTTTTTAGTATGGTAAATAGTAAATGAGTTTTGAGTAAAGCATAGCAAGCAAAGAATTATCCCTGCAAGGTTCTGCCGAGGGTTTTGCATTTTACCGTAATTTATTATTTGGATGTGAGCAAGTGTGAGTGAGTAGCAGTAAGCTGTTAAAACTGAGCAAATGATTGTTTGTTCCATTAGAACTCTACGTTACATCTCACAAAATTACTTCAGTCATAGGTTTTGTATCACAGAACACTCACTGCACTTGATAATATGGCCTTTGAACAAGTTGCCTTCAACACGCACACTTATCAAATGGAGGACATGCATGAGGTGCGCAAAGGCCAGATGTTTCAACATTACATGCAGGTTTCAAAGTTCTATTCACCAGTGGCCTTGTATGGTGGATTTAGTCTCATGGGGCGTATCGCCTATCCGTGAGGCACATCAGACGTTTCCAGCCAGTAACAGTCCTCCAAAACCTCTAAGGCGGGCTGTCTCAGCATGCCTCAGCAGAGGCGCCTAACCGTGAGGCGAGGAATAAATCCACCATAAATCAACCAGTGCTGCAGGTAGAAACTTACTTGTCAACATTGCAACAGGATCAAAGGATGAACACTTCCGTAGGAGTAGTGCCTCCCTAACCTCAACTGCTGGTGGTAACGGCAGCTCAACTGGCTACCGAAAGACGATGCAATATTCCACGGCGGTAATGAAGCAAAACTTATGGAAGATAATTATCCCAGAACAGCTCCAAGTGTTCCACACCGAACATGTAGTTAAAGTCTAACGATAAACGCAAGGATCTTGGCGGCGGCGCCATGATGATGTGATCAGACGACTCCGTAGAGGAACACAGGTGGCGCGCTCTTGCGGAGCGAATGTGAAGTTTGGAACGTTTTGGCGTTTTGGCCTTCCCTCAGCAGCAGTCTCCCCAGCCAGAGCCAAAAATCGAAGGTCGTCTCAACGTTGAATCGACGTCGAAGTCGGAGTTACGTTGAATTTCGGACCATAATGGTCAGATCAACGTTGATTCAATCGACGTCGACGTTGATAAAAGTCAAATCATTTCCGGCTGAATCCAGTTCTTTGGGCTAAGAGAGTTCGCGTACCTCAACTGGCTAGACAGAACGCCGTCCTCACAGCCTTTACCGGGGTTGCACATTTTCTACTCCTTACGCCTCACGCTTTCTCAACGTCGGTTTTCCTATGATTTCTGTAGTGCGAGGGACTGTCCGTCTACGAGGCTTTGAATCCAGGAAGTCGAGGAGGGGGGCGGGAGGGTGTAACAGCAGAGCCCTGCACTGTGAATAAAGATATAATGGAGTGGCTTTATCGGCGAGGCGCAGCACTGACACCGCCACGCTGCCCCCCACCCCCCTCACCTCCCTACCCTCCCCTGGCCTCCCCGTCGGGGGGCCCGTGAAGAAAGACTTTGCGTAGGCGAGAGGCAAGGTGGGGGAGAGCGGGGAGGGGGGCGGGCCACCCCGAGCCCGGCCCCTGCAGGGCAGCGTCAAGCCCATCAATACAAAGAGACCCATCCCCAGCACTCAGGGCGCGGCGCGCGGCCAGGGCCTGGGCCAGGGCCTCGGCCAGGGCGCGCCGAGGTGCGGTGGAACGGAATGGGCCGTTTCCACCATTTCCCGGTGCATTGTTTTTTATCATCGTTTTTACTCAGCGCCGGGGCCGGGCCCCGCCTCTTCGTCGGCCCCCCAGGCAGCCGGCTGCTGCTGCTGCTGCTGCTGCTGCTGCTGCTGCTGCCTGAGGCTTTTGCTTTCGCATCGGGCGAGTTTTATCCCCGGGATTCTCAGAGGAAACAAACAGAGACGACTACCGGGGGCGCCGCACGCCCGGCCGCCGCTCCGCCCGCTGCGCCACGCCCGATCCCGGCCAACCCCACCCTCCTGTCCCCCGCCGCACCACAACTGAAATCCGAAGCGACAAAATTCGTCGTGGACTGCGGGCGGCACGGCGGTGCTACTACCGGCGGTGAGTTTGGTGTGGTTTTGCTCGACCCCCTCTGCCCCGTCGCCGCGCTTCGCACTCACTCTCCCTTCTGCTTTCAGTTTGACCCGGTTTTCACGGGGCATGGAGAACGCACTCGCGGAAGAAAAAGAGAACATAAACACTAAAATGAAATGAAAAATGAAAACACACGAAACAAAACAGGGCGCGTACATTTTTGAGGTGCGTGAGCGACTCGGCTGCGCAGGCCGGAGAGGGGGAGGGGGCGGCACTGGACAGGCCTTTCGTTCCCTTTGAAAGCGCGGCGGCCGAGTGTGACTGGCCGGCCGACCCCCCACCCTTTTCCCCCTCACTCTCCCTCGGCCCTGATTTCGGTGGCCGCATTATGCCAGTCAGGTTTGGACTCCCTCGGGCAGGGGCGGCGGGGGACCTCGCCGGCCAGAGGATGGCCACAATGGCACGCCTGGGCTGAGCGACCGGGGCCGCCCTCGGGGGGCACCCTGTAACCCCCTCGCCGTGCGGGCGGCGGCCCGAGGGGGCGGGCCCGAGGCCGGGCCACGACCTCCCTCCCCGACTAATGCTTTGTTAGCACCTCATCGTGCACTAACTCATTAAAACCGCCCCGGCGAAGGATCTCGCCCCTCGCCCAGTCATGTCATGTACACCGACAGGGTCCCCGACAAGGCCCCGACACGGCCCCGGGGAGGGAGGGGTCCGAGACCGTGGCGGGGAAGGCGACGGGCTGGCCCCCTCCCCGCCTCACCCCGCGGGCGCCGGGTCAGATACAACCCCGGGAACATCGGGGGGCCGGGGCCGGGCTGCGCCAGCTCGCCAACACATCGACGCCCCGCCCGTACCGACCCAACCCACTCCAGCCCGGTGTAGGACCATGAATGAACCCCCACCATGAATGTACCCCCAGAGGAAGGGGGTACATTCATGGCACCATGAATGTACCCCCCATAGCGTTGCATCAGCTAGGGGGTACATTTATGGTGCCATGGATGTACCCCCCTTGGTGCCTTTTTTGGGGGGGTACATTCATGGCACCACTGTTGTACCCCCCGTCACGGCCCTTCAAGGGGGTACAACAGTGGTGCCATCAATGTACCCCCCAAAAACAGGCCTCAGGGGGGTACAACAGTGGTGCCATGAATGTACCCCCCTGGAAGGTGGCATTTGCTACCCAAAAACTTACCCTTCATGCTGTGCAACAGTTGCTTTGGGTCAAACGTGTTTTTTTTTCGTGTACAACGTGTACGATTGGGACAGAAGAGCACAGAAAGGCGTCTGAGGCCCTGCTTCTTTAAGCAAAGTAAGCATGAACGGTGCACAGTGAAAGCTAAGTTACGAAATTAAACGCACAGTTTTTTCCCATTATTTTAAATGAAGAATAACTGACTTTAAAAAACCACTATTTTGTTGCAATACCTAGAGTGGAGCAGATAGGAAACACGTGTTGCTTATATTCTTTATTCCTCCTTCCAGGGGGGTACATTCATGGTGCCATAGATGTACCCCCTCCCTTGCCACCTTCCAGGGGGGTACATTCATGGCACCACTGTTGTACCCCCCGTCACGGCCCTTCAAGGGGGTACAACAGTGGTGCCATGAATGTACCCCCCCCCCCCAAAAAAAAGACACCAAGGGGGGTACATCCATGGCACCATAAATGTACCCCCTACCTGATGGAACGCTACGGGGGGTACATTCATGGTGCCATGAATGTACCCCCTTCCTCTGGGGGGTACGTTCATGGTGGGGGTACACTCTTAGCTCTGCACCGGCTCGGCGCGCCACACCGCACAACTGCATGGGAGCCGAACGGGCCGGAGCGCCTGTCACGACCAGGGTAGGCAACAACCTCCGCACCCGCGCCAGCGCCCAGCCGCTGTTGCCTACCACACAGGATGCGTGACACGCCATGCGTGCGTTGAGCACAACCGTTGGGGGCGGAGAAGGGGGGAGAGATCGAGCGGGAGCATCGTCTATTCGTAGGCACGTACACGGGCGTACGGGTGCGCGCGTGAGTGTGGTGTGGAAGCGAGAGAGAGAGGGAGCGAGAGAGAAATATGCGTATAAGCTCGGAGTGGTAGGAAAATCTGAAATGGGACATGCGCCTAAAAAAAGAACTGTTTGCGTGCGGTGGCACGACGGCACCGTCCCCGACCCGGACGAGGGTTGCGCGGCCCGTGGCTTCACCTCGCCGGCAATGACCAGTCATGCGCGGGGCGGGCGGGGTCGCGCGGGCGGGGGGTGCCACCGCCTAGCAGCAAACGCATGGTGGCGCCCAATGCAAGCACCGCGCTCTGGGCCGGGCGGCCTGGGGAAGAGGGGGGCATTGTTTAGTGGCTGCGGAGAGAGGAGCGAGGTTTGAGAATAATTGTTATTGTCTCTGCAACCCTCAGGCCATTCCCTATAATACCCAGCGCCTCTCTCTCCCCTCACACATACACACACGCAAGCACTCCCACACACACACACCTGCACACTAACGCAGGCGCGCAGTTCGAAGTTAAAACAACAAATAAAACAACATTCGAGGAGCAAAGCGCACTGTTAAATGGACTGTGAGAGTGCCTCACTTTTATCAATCACGACAACAGCAGTCTCCCTAAAGGATGGTGGGAAAAAACGCTTCCCAAGACTCGGGAATGAATAAGGAATCAGACTGTGAAATTTCTTGGCAACTACCGGGGGCTCTGATCCGAGTTTCAGGACGCGCACTATAACTGCAAAATAAATAATGAGTCCGAGCCACAGCAACCGAGCCGGCCACGCCCCCTTTCACGGTAAGGGTGAGAGCCACCCCTCTCCCTCACTGCATTTCCATATTCCTAATTGGTTGCGCCACTCAATGCCTCACTCGGGACCCGGATGCCCAGCGCACACGCCGAGTCTCACATTTCTATCAGAGAGCATCACAACACGCCGTGCGCCGCGGAGAGCTCCGCTTTCAGCCCAGTCTATACCACGGAGATCCACCCCCCAGAACTCATATTAACGCTCCTATTCATGATCCTGTGCATAAAAAGAAAACCAAAACGGGAACACGACGTATTATAAACATACACTGTTTCGAAAGTTGGTGCAGTAGAGTGAACGAAAAGGGGGTCATCCAGTGCGTACGTCCGTCATTCGCCGTTACGAAACTGATAAGTTCAGCTAACGCAAACTGTCGGAGCGCCTGTTCGGTAGGCAACATCTCGTCTGCAGTGCATCCGTGTACAGCGGGTGGCCTACCCTGAGTCTTGCAGGCGTCTAGCTCCCTGTTGTTTGCCGAATGAATCTGAGAAAAAAACGGGCGTGCTTTCAGGACGATATCGTCGCGCGCAGGATAAATAATAATGCTCGCACACGAAAACATTCACTTTCTTCTGAAGAAGTCACAACATGAAAACGTTATTTTGTGTCGCACAGACTTGAAGTGGGTGAAAACCACCAGAGCACTTCCGCCGTGCACTTCCGGTGCATGGAGTGGCCTGCGGGGCCCGCGCTGACGCGGTGCAGCGTCACAACAGGTGGCCTGGCAGCGCGCGCGGCGGGGCGGCCAGTGCCCACCAGCACCCACTGCAGCGCGGCGCTCCCGCCCACCAGGGCTGCCCCTCGGGCTGCCCCGACCACCATCGTTCAATCTCGGGCGCGTTCTTTTTTAGACATGAGCAGCGGGAGGGTCGCCGACGACACCCCTGGGACTGCGGAGAGTGCGAGGGAGGACGGAGCCACTAAGGACTCTGGAGGCGACCCGTACCTGTCACGGGTGGGCAGAGGTGGGCGTGACTCCTCCCGGACAAGCGGACACTCGAGGGCAAAATCCGACCGCCTGGACGGGTCTAGGACGGCGTCGAAGGAACCAGCGAGGACCCCGACGACGTGGTGAGAGCGCGGGGCGAGGTGAGCGAGCGCGCGGGACGGAGCGCGGGACGTTTGACGCGGAACTGCGGCGCTGCGGCTGCGCTGCGGCGCGGGCGGCACGTCGTGTTC